AGACACTGAGAATGGAATACAGAAATACTAATGTCTACTTCAAGCTAGCCGTAACTGTGTTCACTTGAATTTAATTATTTGACGAATTAAAAACATTTCACGTAAACCTGTGGAATTTAGAAATATCTGTTGCAATGATAAATGTCGTTCTGTCGACTGCACTTTATACAGTGATTCAATTTCACTTTGACATTACAATCACTTACAAAATGACATCATATATATTTCTGCCTCCCTCTCATACCATAAATGTGTAATTCTGAACCAATACCTGAGCCATTGTCTGTACTGAGAATTAAAATATTCCTAATAAATCCACTCAGTTTGTGGTGAAATATTGGCCTCACATATTCCCACAGTTCAAAACGGCAATAGCTACAGAATATGTTACATCTGTTTGAAAATTCGGTTTGTCGCTAGAGTCAGAATATTATTCTCACGGAACAATACTCAGTCAGAAACAGGATACTATGTATTTCAACATACAACTTCTTGTCGTTTAACGTAAGCCAAAATCACACCCTCAGTGACTACTGGGTAAAGAAAACAAACTCTTTATAGAAAATAAACACCGGCTCAATCAATGAAGAAAATAATTTTGGCTACGTGTTTTACATTCAGCTAGTAGAAGCTTTCAAAAAGGGAGTGCACCACACTCTCTCACCTCGTCTACAAATCACATCGGAAATTTCGAGAATAAGAACACATGATGCTCCAGTGATATTGATATTGAGTCGTTCCAATTCATTATAAGATTAAGGGAACTACTAAATCTCTACTTCATTTCTGGATGTCAGTGAGTGTGAATCACTGATTCTCTCACTCCAATATTTGAAATCGACTGTCATCGAACACGTAGACATATTCTTCCTCATCGTAGTGAATTCGCTCGCCAAATATTTACTCTGTCTAGCTGTGCGACTAGTCACAGGTGTGTGACAGTGAGTCGCTGAGCACATTATGGAGTTGATCACACATAACTCTAGTATTTTCCTCCGAGAAGGATAGCGGTAAGTGAACGGAAACAAACGTGATTACTTCCAGTATTTCACAGTTTACCTTGCTACATAAACAATAAAATTATCCCAGGAAATCTCATACGAAGACTTTATTTCAAACGAATAAATACAACCATCTAATTAGAATACTCATAATCCACATGAATAAAATTTCATTCACTTGCAGGTTGACCTTCGGTAGTAGTAGTAGTAGTAGTAGTAGTAGTAGTAGTAGTAGTAGTAGTAGTAGTAGGAGTGGTAGTAGTAGGAGTGGTAGTAGTAGTAGTAGTGGTAGTGGTAGTAATGTTAGTGTTCTCATATTTCGGGTGCATACATTTTGTCGGGCCACGACATTCTTCTCCAGCACATTGTTCACTGTTGGTTCTCTCACATCGTGCATGTTTGCAGATTAGATTTCGACAACAAGCTTTGAGTCTGCCACAATACTCGCCTTCCCAGTTGCATACACCTGAAAACGAAAACATAATCAATCACAATTATGTGGTATTTGGAAATTCAATGTATCGTCATCAAGAGTATGCAAGCAATTCGACTGCGACACAACGCTGCACGCCAGTCTCATACATTATGAATGAACAGTGTAGTTTGTTTCGATGGTGTATGTTGTATGCTGTCTCAACAATCAGTCTCAGTCATCATACTTCGACACACTCACACACACACACACAGGCATTCACTCAATATGGAATTTCACACTGGAAGCAGTGGAACTTCGTCACAACAGTTATATGTATCTCCTTGTCGACTTGTTTCCTGTGTGGAACAGATTCATTGGAACATAGAGGTGAAGTACTGAATAATCTTCAAGTACCTGAAGTCATTCTGAAGCAATAGAACCATTCACCTTGTCATCAGTCACCTGTTATATTGGGTGGCATAAAAACTCTCACATAAAAGCTGCCAGGAATACGGTTGGACGTGATCTTCATGAATAAAAATACTGATGTGGGTGTCAAAGGAGATCAAAAATGCAGTCCATGACACTCACATTTCACTTACGCCATGCATCGATTTCCATAATGACTACAGCGATAGAGGATAAGAGAAGCAGTGTACGCAGCATCTGTGACAGCGTGATCACCAAGTGAATTTCATATTCGTTTCTCTACTATTTATCTTCTGAAGTGTGACCTAAAAGCCTGTCTCATCATCTACTCACGTATTTGTGATGAATAATCCATTTACTTGTTATTACTTTGTCACGTATTTGACCTTCCACCGGTTACCTACAACATGATGAAAATCTCAAATACTACTGATTCATAAATTTCTATTTTTACTTGCATTCTGCTTCACGTATTGTTACTGAGTCATTTCTAGTTCACTGATGAACAATTGAATGGTCAAATTTGCATGAAAACACAAATAGACTCACTGAGTAATTAAATTGGACGCATGATCTTAAAACACATGTTTTTCTCAATATATGAAAGACAAGACTCGAAAAGCAAAATGTTAGTAACATAAAACTGTTTAGTCTACGCTTTGAAATAACCTCAGTCATGTGAATGCAGGAGAGAGATAGGCGAACGCAAATCACCTACGTTTGACAGGCGAATACAATTAGTGATATAACAACTGAAACTGTTTGACTGAATGGGAATTCAGACAGTATAAGAAGACAATTAGGCAGTGTGGCAGAGGACAGTTTGTTATTTTGATATCACATTTTAGAAAGTTCCCTCGGGCTACTCTTCCTGTTCAGCATCGGTGTGTTACGCGAGGCGGTCAAACCATTATACGATCGTGAACACAACCATGCAGTCGAATGAAATACATTGAACGTCCACAATGTGTTGACGAATAATTTTCAAGAGAATTTTCCAGTGCATTCGAGGCTCCTTGAAAGAACACCCAGAATTTCGATCATTACAAAGATGATGTCAAAGCACAATCAGATATAATTGGCAAAAACATGGGTGATAAATTTGAATATTTTAGTCAAAACTGGTCACTCAATACGCAAAGTGAATTTATTCAGTGTCATCTCTAAACTGTAAAGAAGCTTTGCGAAAAACGGTAAGCTTCCGCATGATTTGCATTTCTGAGTTACTGCTCATCCGGATAGAAAACCCTAATTTATGCACACAGAAGAAATTGATCCCCCCTTCGTTTACCTCAGGCATAATTCCAAGTCCTCCTGCTTTCCTATTGATGTTTTTGAATTTTTGTATGACATCCTAGTAATATATTTTTCTTACCAAGAATTTACTTACTCTTCTACATACTGCATTGTTTATTTCCGACACATTTCCATTACCGTCATATTTCACATTACGCAACCCTTGTCGATACTTTCCAATCCTCACCACCCTCTTTAGTTACACTCTGATTGTTCATCACATTTTTTGAAACACTCTGATTATGTGAACAAAAATCCCCTTCCTGGATGTCCTCCTTACAAGAAGACCAGACGGTGACATGAGAGGAAATTTGCACAAAAAAAGCACTTGGACAGGACAATATACAAATTTTCACAGCTTCGTTCTTCTCCAGTACAAAAGAAATCTAGTAAAGACCCTCAGCTACGAAGTCAGACCTATATGCTTAGAAGAAGTAGTTAAAGATGAAGTAAGCATTGTATATGAAACCTTGATTGAAAATAGATGTCCTGACAAATTTATCCAGAAACACATGACAAAGAAAGCAGAAAAGGACTACTTACTAACCGTAAACAAGAGGCCTGTTTTATACGACTGTAATTGAAGGGCGATATACCAAATGAAATTATTATGAAGCAATTATGAAGAAATCAGTTCAAACAACTTTCACTGCTGGTGAATTTCACGACTTATTCTCTACACGACCGATAGTGATTCCTCGACTTTAAGATGAAGTACCTTGACTAGTCACTTTCAATTGTATCTAACAATTCAACTCCTCTTGTGAAGCGAGTACTATCAGCCTTTGCACTAGGAACGTGGTTTTTCGCGCTCAAGAACGTTTCCTGGTATGACTAAGTAAAGCTGTAGTATAAAACAATGGATGGTTGGATATTGGACTATCTGATCCTAGTGCCAAATATAATTGAGGTACCGCATGCTCCAAACCACAGTGACTATAGCGATACGCGTGAATAAACCAGTGTTATGTGTGCAAAAAAGCAAGTTCCCCGTCTACTATTGCCCTGGATGTCAGTAATTAACTGATTGTGCTTTGACATCATCTTTGTTAATGATCGAAATTCTGGGTGTTCTTTCAAGGAGCCTCGAATGCACTGGAAAATTCTCTTGAAAATTATTCGTCAACACATTGTGGACGTTCAATGTATTTCATTCGACTGCATGGTTGTGTTCACGATCGTATAATGGTTTGACCGCTTCGCATAACACACCGATGCTGAACAGGAAGAGTAGCCCGAGGGAACTTTCTAAAATGTGATATCAAAATAACAAACTGTCCTCTGCCACACTGCCTAATTGTCTTCCTATACTGTCTGAATTCCCATTCAGTCAAACAGTTTCAGTTGTTATATCACTAATTGTATTCGCCTGTCAAACGTAGGTGATTTGCGTTCGCCTATGTCTCTCCTGCATTCACATGACTGAGGTCATTTCAAAGCGTAGACTAAACAGTTTTATGTTACTACCATTTTGCTTTTCGAGGCTTGTCTTTCATATATTGAGAAAAACATGTGTTTTAAGATCATGCGTCCAATTTAATTACTCAGTGAGTCTATTTGTGTTTTCATGCAAATTTGACCATTCAATTGTTCATCAGTGAACTAGAAATGACTCAGTAACAATACGTGAAGCAGAATGCAAGTAAAAATAGAAATTTACGAATCAATAGTATTTGAGATTTTCATCATGTTGTAGGTAACCAGTGGAAGGTCAAATACGTGACAAAGTAATAACAAGTAAATGGATTATTCATCACAAATACGTGAGTAGATGATGAGACAGGCTTTTAGGTCACACTTCAGAAGATAAATAGTAGAGAAACGAATATGAAATTCACTTGGTGATCACGCTGTCACAGATGCTGCGTACACTGCTCCTCTTATCCTCTATCGCTGTAGTCATTATGGAAATCGATGCATGGCGTAAGTGAAATGTGAGTGTCATGGACTGCATTTTTGATCTCCTTTGACACCCACATCAGTATTTTTATTCATGAAGATCACGTCCAACCGTATTCCTGGCAGCTTTTATGTGAGAGTTTTTATGCCACCCAATATAACAGGTGACTGATGACAAGGTGAATGGTTCTATTGCTTCAGAATGACTTCAGGTACTTGAAGATTATTCAGTACTTCACCTCTATGTTCCAATGAATCTGTTCCACACAGGAAATAAGTCGGCAAGGAGATACATATAACTGTTGTGACGAAGTTCCACTGCTTCCAGTGTGAAATTCCATATTGAGTGAATGCCTGTGTGTGTGTGTGAGTGTGTCGAAGTATGATGACTGAGACTGATTGTTGAGACAGCATACAACATACACCATCGAAACAAACTATACTGTTCATTCATAATGTATGAGACTGGCGTGCAGCGTTGTGTCGCAGTCGAATTGCTTGCATACTCTTGATGACGATACATTGAATTTCCAAATACCACATAATTGTGATTGATTATGTTTTCGTTTTCAGGTGTATGCAACTGGGAAGGCGAGTATTGTGGCAGACTCAAAGCTTGTTGTCGAAATCTAATCTGCAAACATGCACGATGTGAGAGAACCAACAGTGAACAATGTGCTGGAGAAGAATGTCGTGGCCCGACAAAATGTATGCACCCGAAATATGAGAACACTAACATTACTACCACTACCACTACTACTACTACCACTCCTACTCCTACTACTACTACTACTACTACTCCTACTACTACTACTACTACTACTACTACTACTACTACTACTATCGAAGGTCGACCTGCAAGTGAATGAAATTTTATTCATGTGGATTATGAGTATTCTAATTAGATGGTTGTATTTATTCGTTTGAAATAAAGTCTTCGAATGAGATTTCCTGGGATAATTTTATTGTTTATGTAGCAAGGTTAACTGTGAAATACTGGAAGTAATCACGTTTGTTTCCGTTCACTTACCGCTATCCTTCTCGGAGGAAAATACTAGAGTTATGTGTGATCAACTCCATAATGTGCTCAGCGACTCACTGTCACACACCTGTGACTAGTCGCACAGCTAGACAGAGTAAATATTAGGCGAGCGAATTCACTACGATGAGGAAGAATATGTCTACGTGTTCGATGACAGTCGATTTCAAATATTGGAGTGAGAGAATCAGTGATTCACACTCACTGACATCCAGAAATGAAGTAGAGATTTAGTAGTTCCCTTAATCTTATAATGAATTGGAACGACTCAATATCAATATCACTGGAGCATCATGTGTTCTTATTCTCGAAATTTCCGATGTGATTTGTAGACGAGGTGAGAGAGTGTGGTGCACTCCCTTTTTGAAAGCTTCTACTAGCTGAATGTAAAACACGTAGCCAAAATTATTTTCTTCATTGATTGAGCCGGTGTTTATTTTCTATAAAGAGTTTGTTTTCTTTACCCAGTAGTCACTGAGGGTGTGATTTTGGCTTACGTTAAACGACAAGAAGTTGTATGTTGAAATACATAGTATCCTGTTTCTGACTGAGTATTGTTCCGTGAGAATAATATTCTGACTCTAGCGACAAACCGAATTTTCAAACAGATGTAACATATTCTGTAGCTATTGCCGTTTTGAACTGTGGGAATATGTGAGGCCAATATTTCACCACAAACTGAGTGGATTTATTAGGAATATTTTAATTCTCAGTACAGACAATGGCTCAGGTATTGGTTCAGAATTACACATTTATGGTATGATAGGGAGGCAGAAATATATATGATGTCATTTTGTGAGTGATTGTAATGTCAAAGTGAAATTGAATCACCGTATAAAGTGCAGTCGACAGAACGACATTTATCATTGCAACAGATATTTCTAAATTCCACAGGTTTACGTGAAATGTTTTTAATTCGTCAAATAATTAAATTCAAGTGAACACAGTTACGGCTAGCTTGAAGTAGACATTAGTATTTCTGTATTCCATTCTCAGTGTCTGAGGTAAGCTGCGTCGTATTCATTTCAATTTGTAATCTTAGACACAATGACAATCAAGTTTCAATGTGTAGTCATGAGAATCAGTGTTAGGGAAAATTCAAGTAACAGTGAAAATTGGGAGATAGTAAATATCGGATATACCACTGAGAATTTGTATCCAAGGCACAGTGTTATCTGAGTTCAATTACTAATCTATGCGTCGCCTCATTTGCCACCGTGATTCTTCCATTTGCGAATGAAATATGCTGTATAATTTGATGTAATACTGCATCTTTTGTTGTAGAGTTGTGGCTTAAATTATTGATTTGTGCAGTTTCTCGTGAGCTCGTTAAACAGGAATATTTACCGAATTCGGAATTCATGCAATGTGAGTGCGATTTATTGTGTCATCACTATACTCAATTGGGTAGCTAAAATTCAGGTGATCTGAGGTGATTCGGCCCCGTTAGTTGATGTATTCATCTCCTAACCACTCAGAGGGATGTATGGAAGCTATCACTACTGGTTGGTATGACCAGTGTTAGACCGCTAACTTCAATCATGAATTATTATGAAATAACACGGGTGTTTGAAATATCATCGAAGGAATAGTATCGATAAATTACATTTGAATATTTGCAATATTATGACTAATGCTGATAACTCCATGCTGTACTATAAGTACTGTTCTCTTGTAATATGACAGATTAGTTTTATTATTATTAGAAACCACCGGTAATAAATAATATGCATCAATGTGACAAAGCTTAACTGAATATCAGATGAAATGAAGGTAGTCCTACAGATATAATGCATTTTTAGTTCTTACCACAGGTTAGGGTAGCGATAGCATCTGGATATTTTACAGTCGCCTTTAGAGTTCCAGTTAATTTATGTGGATTGCATGGACCTCTGTTCTGTAAAGTGTTCGCTATCTTCGGCGTTTGGTAAATTTTTCGATAAGTGGTAGATGATTGGGAAAAGTACCCATTGCCATTTGTGTGATGTGATTGAACGAGATAATCCAAAATGGAAGTGTTGAGGCTTTTGGCTACACCGTTTATTTAGTCACCCTGTTTGGTGTTTTCCGAACACAAAATGTCTGATTCCTCGAAGAACAGTCAATAACAATTTCGCCTCAGGTGCAGTCCATCCGAGAGACACAATAAGATTTGGCTAGCCTAGGCACTAACGTATATGAAATATGAAGAAAACGAGTTTGTTTTTATTTGTTCGAACAACAACGTCAGCTTATTTATTTCTATTTCGCTGACATTTGCACAAATATCATTTTTAAACGTGCATATGCTTTTTTCACTCGCTATCCAATGTTTACTGAACTGCTTGGTCAAATCTACATCAGAGTTGATTCACACTGGGTGAACAATTCAGCTGGCTTTTCATCTGAAGGCATTCAGCAGCAGAAACCGAATATTTTCGGTTTGCTTTATAATACATTCCTTTGTTTTATGTACAATGTATTACTATCCGATTGATGAATCTTGTGTCTTGGAATTTACGCGTAACTCAACATGTGGCGTAATTAATCGACTAGATTATCGCTCCGGATTTCTTAGAATACATCCACACTCAACATGCAAGAGAAGCCAACCTTATCTATGTCTGTCATATCCAGTAATTTCAAGAGGGTCAAACACAATCTGGGTTTATAGCAGGAAATCATGAATTATCTCTTTCATCATGATAACAACCATCCCTCTTGTTACATAATCATATATGCATACATTTGTGCAATTATGCTTGTGCAATTAACATTGTTATTATTATAGAAGTCATCATCACTCTCTTGACCCACCGGTCTAAATTAACTCACCTGATTTCAAATCACTTCTAAAGACTTTCCTTGTATACATCAGGCGACTCTGTTTCCTGTTTGTCTCTGGTTAACGCTTATCCTGTTGTTAAGCTAAGTACGGAAACATCTTCAATCTTCCTCCGAATTCATCAGAAGTGATTAATTTCTTTCCTTGTCAGCAGTGATTTCCCTACATCAGGTTCTACATATAATCGTCTCCTCCGAGGACAATCATCATGCCTAACTTCTCTGTAGAATAACATTGGATATCTTTATGAATTTTGTACAAGATTTGACCGAATATTTCCAAAATAATTGTGCACCGAGTGAGAAGTTGACATTTCTTAATATTATATTTTCAAAGTCTCATAATCAATGTCACCAATGACTTCGTCATGTTGAAACAAGCTGAAACAAGCGAAATGTTACAGTCAATAAAAGAGAAACTCGGTGTGTCGCTTTGGTTTAACTCTGGCTCCAAAACGTTGTAGCCCCTGCAGATTTTATGGATTACCAAAACCACACAAACCAGAAGTTCCAATAGGTCCAGTTGTGGATTTTACCAATTCACCAACTTATACACTGTCTAAATACATATGAAATGAAAGTGGACCATGGAGTGAAGAATTCGTATGAATTTAAGAGAAAAATCAATGTGACTCATATTGAAGAAGATGAAGTGATGGCAAGTTTCGATGGTTACTCATTATCCATGAATGTTCCCATTAATGATTCTCTGAGTATTGTTCAAAATTTACTTCATTCTCACGACGAACTCAGTGCTCGTTGTCCTATAAATCCTGACGAAATTATGAAGACGTTGGGACTGTGTCTACGCCTGACTTTATTTACACTTAGTGGGGCTCCTTACCGTCAAACAGAAGGCATTGCTATGGGATCACCAGTCTCTCCGCTAGTTACCAATCTCTTTATGCGCTCATTCTAAGCAGATGAAATTATGAGATGCTCTAGTCCTTCAAAAATGCGGTTAAGATAACTGGATGATACCTTCGTCATAATCAGACACAGTTCGTTGAATGAACATTTTCGTTTAATAAACAACATGTCAGAAACCATCAAGTTTTTCAAAGAGGTTGAATCCGAAGAAAATGATTTAGCGTTCCTGGACTGTTTAGTAAAATGGAACCCATAAGGTAAACTAAAAATAAGCATTTTCAGAAGGCCGACAAATTCGGACAGATACCTAGACTACCATTCAGCACACCCTTTTACCACCAAAGTAACTGTAGTCAGGAATCTGATCAACAGATCCAAACATATAGTTACTGAGAAAGAAGAGAGATCAGTAGGGAACTAGAATTGGTTCAATTTACTCTTGGATCACATGATCATCCCAAAGCCTTCATGAAAAGATATTTAAAATGTGAAGATAAGGATAGGTGGAAACCTGTTGCTGAGAATTGGGTTAGCGCAATGGCGATTGCTCACCTCAAAAAAAACATCGCATGAGATAAAGCGAATCCTTAACCATGATGACCTAAGAGTGTATTTTCGTGCAAACAACACCTTATGCTCATCCCTGGTGAAGGCTAAGGATGAAATAGAAGGAGATAACCGACAGAGTTGTGTATGTCAAATCAGTTGTGGGGACTGTGACCCCGTTTACGTAGGAGAAACTTCCAGACGGGTAAATGTGAGAGTGATAGAGCATAAGCGATGTCCAAAGGTGATTCCAAAGACTTCTGCAGACTAAACGAAGCTAGAAAACAGATCAGCGATTGCACTGCATTCGGTTGAAACGGGACACAAATCAACTTTGATAGGACTAAGGTTCTGAAGAAAGGTTTTGTTTCTCATAAAGAAAGACTGAATGCGGAAGCCCTACATATATGGGTGAATGTCAAAAGTTTGACCAGACGTGAGGGTGTAATATTAGCTTATGCATGGCAAATTTTGATTAATAAATAAAAAATGGGTTTGTATCACTAATTATTCATACTTGGTCTAAATTTCCGACTGTCTATATCTCTTCATGCACAGGCTAACAAATGTTTTACAACTGCTTACCCATAC